CACAGGTGGCCGCTGGGCGGAGGAAGACACACATGTCAGGATGAGAGAAAGAGAGAGGCAGAGATGGGCATATGCTGTCTCTCCACGACTTGGCCGAGGCGTTTCACACGCTAGAACACCGAACGGCCAACAGGAACAACAGAAGAGATATAAAAGAGGCAGCGCTGGCACGTGAGTTTGAAATCCTCACACGTCAAGTACGCGTTCTTCCTCGTCATGTGGAAAAGTTGGAGTATTGAACAACAGCAGCTCAGCTTACGTCCTCAAACCTGCCCGTCCCTCTCTCCGATGCCCTCTTGCTCTCTATTCTGCAACTGATCTTTGTTTTTCCTCGTGGTGGGAGCAGAGTAGGTGTTATGCCTCACCATTTGACATAAGTTGCAGAGTAGGTGTTATGCCTCGCCATTTGACATAAGTTGAGCTGCATCTACAGTACCACTTTTCGTCCAGGTTAACAGATGCATATAAAAATGTAAACAGATTTTTTTTAAAGGGCTGAATAAAAGTGACCACAGTGTTAATTTAGGAAGCAAGAAACACATTTACTCTCAGAAGTACAGCAGTGTTACAGTTGTTCATTGTTAGTTGGCAGTGCATAAACTAATGTTAACAAACACAACTTTTGATTTTAATAGTGCATTAGTAAATGTTGAAATTAATATTAACTAAGATTAATAAATGCTGTAGAAGTAGGCTATTGTTGATTCTTAGTTCATGTTAACTAAAGTAAACTAATGAAACCTTATTGTAAACTGTTTCCAGAATATTGTTCAAATTGTTACTGCCTTTAGTTATTATTTTGGAATAAATATAAAAATGCATAAAAACACTATGAAATGTATAATTAGTATAAAAAATAAATATAATATTCCATATATTATCAGAGCTTGGTAAACATAATTATTATATTTTTAGACATTATTAGACAGAATAATTAATAGATTATAGGCCTATTTAATGCTAGACCCTATTTATTAATTTATCATTTATGTTAAGCATAAATATATACATAATAAATAATGTAATTTGGCATTTTAAAAAGTTTTAAAAAATGCTAGATTATTTAGATAAAAATGGGACAAATAATTACATAATAATGTAGTCCTAATGAATGGGTGTCCCTTATTTTGCCTGGCTGAAGGTGGCAACCCTATCGGTCACTCCACATTAAACAGCGCCAAAATGGCATTTATTGTTTGAATACTGCAATACAAAGGACAGAATTTGAAATCTGAGACTTTGTTTCATATTAAAATTACTAAAGCACAATGCTTATTGCGATTTATTGGATGGGAAGTGCGCTTCAATGTTCCGTCCATTAACTGAAAACAGGCTAGACT